GCATGTGATTGGGCCCAAATTTATTCTGCAGCAGGACGATGACCCCAAACATACAGCCAATGTCATGAAGGACTATCTTCAGCGTAAATAAGAACACGGAGTCCTGGAAGTGATGGTTTGGCCCCCACAGAGCCCCGATCTCAACATCATCGAGTCCGTCTGGGATTACACGAAGAGATAGAAGGATTTGAGGCAGCCTACATTCACAGGAGATCTGTGGTTAGTTCTCCAAGATATTTGGAACAACGTACCTGCTGAGTTCCTTCAAAAACTGTGTGCAAGTGTCGCTAGAAGAACTGATGTGGTTTTGAAGGCAAAGGGTGGTCCCACCAAATATGAATTTGATTTGATTTTCTCTTGTTTGCTCACTTTGCATTTTGTAAATTGAGAAACCTAAACAATTACAATATGTATTTTTGAAAGCATTCTTACTTTACAGCATTTTTTCACATGTACCTAAAACTTTTGCACAGTACTGTAAATAAGCAGACATTGAAGTCTTACTCTAAGATTACAACTTTAACCTCCATTTTTTCTATAGTCTATTGATTTTACTGGTCGTCAAATTATTACATCATAATTTCATTTTTTTCTGTTTCCCACCAAAAATCGAAAAGGGGCTTCCAATTACTGTTAAAATTAGTTAATGTCTCTTCCCTAATCAAAGCTGCCCATTTCACCGTCTCAGCTACCTCCATCAACTTTGCCTTCCATTCTTCCATTGTAGGTAATAGCTTTCCACACTACTGTGCTTTTCCAGCCCCTCGATTTCAGTGAAAATGAAGGTTGCCAAAGCGAAGCAGCCAGTTTGATGTGCCTCAGTTCTCTTTGTGGAGCCACATCAAAAGGGAAATGAGAGCTTACTGTAGGGTGATCAGTGTCAGTTCACTTTGGACGTAGGTTATGTGCTCTTTTTTCTCTTAAGATCCAAGTACAGCGTAAGGGACTGACTATATACTGTTGTTATTTTAAGGAAAACCTCTTTTGGGGAGAATGAGGCTAGGAGACCACTATGAATGTAAGACAATTCCACTCGCATGGGAAGGTTGGACAGAAAAAAAATCCCCTATTACTGTATGCTCACTGAATCAAAAATGACCATCTCATTTTAAAATTAAAATACTGAAGGAAAATCTTAGTTTCCTTTCAGTTTAATGCAGCAGTTCCCTGCTCCCAATTGCCCACAAGAGGCTTTTTGCCCTGCAGGTTTCAGAGACAGAAAACAGCACCTGTGTGATGTGCAGGCAGGTTGAATGGATGTGAACTTCCTTTTCTATTATATAGGAAACCTTTGCCGTGGTGACAGCTGGTCCTGAAGAAACAGGAAAATTACTGGAAAATAAGTTTGATTATATCTTCTATACAGGTGATTTTCTGTTCCTGAATATTCTTTTCAATAGTATTGTTTTTTTAAAAAATTGATCATTAATGTCTGCAGAACAATGTGTGTGGTAAGCCAATATCCAACTATTGAAACTGAAAGTTTTCTAAGATCACACATTAGCACATAAACACACAGACACAGACACCATCTGCAGTAGAATTTCTCTCTGTGGATACTGCAATGCCTTTCTAGAAGAGCAAATTGTTAATAATAGCAGCAGTTGGCCATGTGTCTTCGTTCAGTAGCTTTCTCACGTCTACTGCAGTGCAGCTGAGTTCGTGGCAAGTTAGTGGCAGCTGCCAGATTGCAGGTCTTGCCCACAAGTGGAGGAAAAGATGAATTGTCACCCTGTAAGTAGGAGAAAGGCTGCAAGAAAAAAGATTCTGAATGAATTAGGAAAATCATCCCAACAGTAACAGCAGTCCAAGAGTCGAGAGCCAGCTTGATCTAGTGGTTAAAGCTCCAGGCTAGAATCCCGGAGACTGTGAGTCCTTCGTGAATGGCGGCCGGGTGACTTTGGGCCAGTCCCGCTCTCTCAGCCCAACTCACCTCACAGGGTCGTTGGGTGGGGAAAATCGGAGGAGGAAGGAGTACTAGGCTTGTTCGCCACCTTGAGTTATGTATAAAAAAGAATAAAAAGGTGGGATTAAAAAAATCTAAAAAAAAAAATGACTTGGATAGCTGGATACATAGTACATCTGGACATCCCTGTACTTTCACAAATTTACATAAATAATTATTCCTTGTTACTTTTTTTGAATTAGTTCTTTTTGAATCTTACAATGCAGTATTGATTTTTTTTTTACCAAGAAATCATAGGAATTTGTGTAGCTTTCAAGTTTACGTATTTCAAATTTTTGTAGCCATCAATACATTAAATATTTGTAAATCACTGTTTTTCCACCTATCCCACAACATTGATCTTTAGTCAAAGCAGATATCACAGGCTGTCATGCTCTGATCTTTTTTAAAATATAAGTATCTTCCAAATTCTTTCTAAATCTGAAAATATTTTTTACAATATATACAAACTGCCTAGGCAGTGTTGCGTTACCAACTCTTATTAACATTTTGTGGATATTTTTTAAACAACCTGTGTGGATGTATTGTCGAAGGCTTTCACGGCCGGCATACGATGGCTGGTGTGGGTCTTCCAGGGTGT